TAGTGAATTTCAAAACTATGCCTTCAAGTCTGCGCGCGGTGCTAAGGAAAAACGCCGTATGAACATTCGAAAGTTGCCGAATTTCCCCAAATAAAACATGTATTTTTGAAGAAAGTTACGCGTATTTTTCCTCAAAATTTTCCGATATTTTAGATTAAATTGGGAACAAAATTGTCTGTAAAATTGGAACAAAAATATCCAGAATTTTCCAGTGAATTCCTTAGTTATTGAAGAAAATATGGCAACGCCTGTAGGCTCAAACGGCATTTTTCCTTAGCGCGGCAGAAGTGAGGTTTTTGTCGGCTTTTTGCAAAGTAGATGAAGATACAATAAGAGCATTAACTCGACGCGTTTGGACGCCACTAAACTATCTGGTCGGAGAATCATGTTTTGAGACTCGAGAAAATCTTGTCAAAGCGTGGGCCGTCATGGGCCGTGCAGCTGGCAGTGTAAAGGCGGTCCCAAAATATCTCATTCTCAATTAGTCACCCTTTTCTCCTTCTCTTCTCGACCAAATGGAGCTCCAAAAAAACTCGATGAAATTTCTCAGTTCGCGTTCGATTTCAACTTTCTTAGTAAATTTACATTTTGCTAAAAAAGTATATTAAAATGAACTAAATTTCTTCGTGATATGTTGATACGTAACGAAAATAGCATTCAACAAGTTGTAAATGCAGCAGTAGTGATATGGAGCTTAGTTTACCGTAGAATCATGTATTTTCATTAGTTTGACCTCCATTTTGCTCAAAATTTCACCGTGAATCCAAAAATGTAAACTGTAATAAGGTTTGTGGAATAATGAAAAAAATTGTATTCTTGCTATCTTTAAAGTCTGAGGGTCAGATTTAGGTAGGTGAGAGACAATAGGGCAGAATCTCGGTATCGAGGGTTGCTGATAGGCCAGAGGGCGGAAGAACCCATGTCATCCGCTTGTTGCGCCGCTTTGACAGGTTTATGGTACCTACACAGGCTGCGGCCTTCCGAGTTTGACCTTGGGCCTTGGGTTCAAGTCGAGCCGGTGTAGTGAATGTTACAACTAGAGTCCCTTTATACCCAGAGTTAAGACAACTCGATTATCAGCTGACTGGAAGCCGGGCCTTGGCTGGCCGCATATTCCCAAACTCCGCGTGAAAGTGTCCTTGGGCACCGCGGCCATCCTTTCGCCTTTCTCCTTTCTCCCGTCTCGCGTCTCGCCGTCTGATCGTCTCTCCAACCCTTCGGAATGAATGGGGGTGCGCGACCACGCGGTCCACTCTTTTTGTTTCCAGAAAATATCGTCCTCCTCGAACAAGCCCTTCGCAGCGTTGTCACATGTTGAAGGAATTTGAATACAATTATGAACTATTCTTGTTCTCATGTTCGGTTCTTTAAATAGCACTTCAGGATTTTGGGAACTGAAAGTCTGTCTAATATTTTTAGTGGTAGTGAAAAATGAAGAACCGTCACTTCCGTGGGGTTTTATTTGCGAACTTCAACACGGTCAGTTGAATACTTTTCCGAAACACCATGTACATGTGCCATTGAGAGTGCTCATCGCGTAATTGATATAATTCGTTTTTTCTACTTTTTTTCTTCATATTCATTCCTCTCATGTGACTACTTTTAGAGAAGCAGGACGCAGGATGTGCCGCTTGAAAGCGGGAAGCGCTTACTGGGGGTTGTGCCGCTCAGCGGCCATAGAGCCCGCAACACTCGGTTTATATTAAAGTTATTCTATCTTGCATCTTCATTCTTGTCTGCAATTAATCTGGGATTGATAAAATCGCAATATATAGCGATTTTTCCGGTGAGAAATGCTACTTGGGTCAAGGGAAAGTTGTCCACCGAAATCTAAACTTAATGATTACTCGCCGATAATCTTCATATTTCATTTTCAGTGTCATCTTCAAAGTCCGGTTTGATAGGTTTTTTTGGTTTATTATGTCATTTTGGCACATTATTTTGTTGTTCTGAATAGATTGCACTGTACAAAGAAATTGCTACTGCAGATAGAAAAAAATAATCTAAGTAGGTGTTTAGGATTAGAATGACAGGAAATTTGGTTTTCAGAAGTTTTGAGTGGCATATCCGATTTGATCCATTTATCATTCGGAAATTTTAATTCGATTTCAACATTTTACTCGGAAGAGCACTGAAGAAAAATTCTAAATTAAATCAATATTTTGTTTGTAACATATGCGAAGGAAAATCATCGATTAAATCAATAGTATGCTCAAAAAACAACTACACGCCTGTCAGTACGTACAATAACCATCTTTGAGTGATGAGAGGATCCACATTACGAAAGAAAATCTCAAAAACTCAAAGGTTGCCTTCAATATTTGGAGATACAGAACAACATCCACAAATGATGTTTCATTCCTCACCTTGGCCCCTCAAAATGGACTTTAGGGTAGCCTTCAACTGTCGCAGAAACAAAAGAACATACAGATGTGACCGTTTATCCACTTACTGTGACTACCTCCTTCGGTTGGAAAGAGAGAGAGAGAAGTTATTGACTACCTGACTCCCGTCAATATACGATCCTCGCGGAACAATAAGGCGGACCGCATCGGAACCAGCGAACCCTTCGCAAAGACCCGTTTTCTCGGAAAGGTTGAGCGAGGGTCGACTTGGGTCAACACCCGCTTACCTTCTAGTTTTAGGTGACTAAAAACATGCAAAAAGACTTCTAACACAAGAATTCAAAAAGCAAAGGTTCCAACGGCCTCTGGACGAAATTAGAACTAGCACCTTTTGCTGCAAGGGAAGTGGGTTTTTAAAATTAAAAACAACGGTAAATATAAGGCTCGTTTAGTTGCCCGAAGCTTTCAGCAATGCAGTGAAAACCTTGCTTACAAAGAAATTTTTAGTCCAGTAGTTGAAAGTAATTCTCTTCGTATTCTTTTTGCTATTGCTGCAGAAAAGAAAAATAAGTTAGTCTTCTTTGACGTAAAAACTGCATTCTTGTATGGAGAACTTGGAACTGAAATTTACATGCGACTACCAGAAGGTTTTGAAGAAGGGAACAATTTCTGTCTACTTAAAAAATCCATCTATGGATTGCGTCAAGCATCCAACAATTGGAATAAACGTTTCATCACAACTCTCCGTAAATTAGGTTTCCATGTAGATGACGGTTTAGTAACTGGTCAAGATACAGACAAAATCAATAAAGTACTTAAAGCTTTGAATGAAGAATTTGAAATGACGGTATCAGAAAATGCCAGCTCCTACTTAGGAATGGAAATTGAAAAGAATGAAAAAGGTATTTTTGTTTCGCAATTAAGCGATGCTAACCAAGTGCTTAAACGTTTTAATATGCAAAATTGTAAACCAGTTAGAACACCGATTCAACCTGACAGCAACAATCAAACTGAAGAAGTCGTCGGAGACTTTCCTTACCGAGAAGCGATTGGTAGCCTACTTTATTTTTCTTGTAAAACTCGACTGGACTTAGCTCACAGTGTTAATTTTGAAAGCCGATCGATGGAAAACCCTACTCATCAAGATATTCAGAACGTAAAACGAACTTTACGATACCTCAAAGGCACCTTAAATTATGGTCTTTTTTATCCGGCTACTCCAGAATGTGAAATTAAAGCGTATGCAGACTCGGACTACGCAGGCGATTTGGTCAAACGTAAAAGCACAACGGGCTACTTGATTTTCTTCAAAGGAGGTCTCGTAGCATGGAACTCTCATCTTCAAAGTGTAACAGCCTTGTCGTCGATGGAAGCTGAATACATTGCATCCGCAGAATGTTGCAAAGAACTTAAATATTTGAAGACTCTCACAGAAGTGCTTTGTGATAAAACTGTACCCGCAACTCTGTACGCTGACAACCAAAATGCTATTCGACTCATTGAAACTGCTCAGATGGGACGAGGTAGTAAGCATATAGAAGTCAGGTATCATTATATCAGTGAGCAATTTAAAGATGGAGTTTTCTCCATTGAGTATATTCCAACAGAGCATCAGTTAGCTGATTTTCTTACAAAACCCTTAACTTGTGTTAAATTCGAAAATTTCAGAGACGCAATAATGACGGCTATTGAGTAAATGTATTTCTCTTAATTTTTTTTTTTTTCAGATTATCGAATCAAATTAATTATTTCACTGATCTCTCCTTTCAAGAATCATAAAATATAACTCACTCTTTCCACCCGATTTTCTTTTTGAAGCTCTGAGCCTCATCTCCTTTGTATTATTTAAATTACCAATTTTCCCTTTAAGCATCCTTTGAATTCGCTCCATGTAATTTTTCTTAGTTTGCGCTAAATATTACTCGAAAAAAAAAAAAAAAAATGTAATGTTATTTTCTTTTTGCGCGCACCCTCTTTTGATCTTAAATGTTACGGAAATTTTCTTTTATATTTTTCCACTACGTATTTTGTTTAAGGTGAGATTGATGTCACCTAAATTTCAGGTGATCAGTATTACCAGGGGCTGAAGCATTGCACAGTTTGGCGACACAGGGCCCACCGGTAGAACCGTTCGGGACATATTCTGGTGTGCGACGAAAGTTGGTACACGCCGTTCGTCCAATTACTGAATCGCTCATTTGAAATGTATATTTTTTTTTGGTGAGGTTGGCCGGATTTCGATATTTTGTAAGCAACACATATAATATTACGGAGAGGTAAATATATTTTAAAAATAAGTATATATATGTGTGAAAAAATATGTATATGGTAAAAAATATATATTCAGTAGATGGATAGACGGCGTTCCATGCATAACAAACAAATGCATACCTAATCTCCATTATTCTCAATTATCTCCTCTTCCCTCAATTCGCATTGTACCTACTAAATCTTGATACCTATCGATTTTTAGTTATGTGTCCCTTTAAGATTTCAATATTTTTAATTACCTAACTTTCCGATTTGTGGAGTCATATAAGTACGAAGTACTTTTTCGGGAGATTTCTTTAACTTATAAGGGTACTTTTTTTTAATGTTTAAGAATTTCGCTAGGTACTTCCAGGCTTTGTGTAATTCTATAATTTAGAGACTTACCAAGGTCAGAAGACTGGAGATTTGTCAGTAAAATTGATTCATTATTACTGACATGTTTGTCGCCATCCATACTCTCCCAGTGCTCAACTGATGCCGTGAGGTGGGATTGGTGGCGGAGCAAGTGGTAACTCTGGGCAGGATTAGCCGCGCGTCAATCCTGAAATTTTCTTACGGCACGAGAGAAGCTAGCTGCTTTCTTCGTGCGCCAAATTGTCGGACGTATGAGCGTATTGCACTCTTTTCCCACTATAATTCCCTCGTTTAATGACAAACTCCTCTTGTTAGTCCGGAGCAGCAATCCTGCCGCATGTGTTGCCCCGTGTCTCTTACTCGCAGCGTAACGTCACCAGCTTACCACCTCCATCCGTCCAACTTCGTTACTTCTGCGGATGCAACTAGTAGGAATAAAATGCTCGATACGAGTTATCATTGTTTGTAATCCTATCCAGCAAAACTTTCAGTTTGGATATTTGTTCGTCAGTCATTGCTCTGTGAAACAAAATTTCGATAAGTTTACACTAGCTTGGCAATAAGGATTTCAGCAAGAATGAGCGTATACCTATACCTACAATGGACCACGTCCTGTGAACGTAACATTTTAATGGTTAATAATTAACGTACGGCTGGAATTCGGCACACTTTATTTTACATACGTAGGTACGTATATAAAGATGTTTTTACCCGAAACCAAGGTCGATAGACCCAGGTCAATCCGATAACAAAGGTGTTCTTTGAAATTTTTCGACCCGATCTTTCCGATCTACCAAATTTCAGTGTAATCGGAATCGGGGGAACAGCAGAGTGCTGGGACATGCAAATCGGGGGAATCTTTCGGCAACGCGGACATCCCTCGTAAAATTTATCACACTCAACTTTTATCGACCTTGGCCTAAAGTCCCTTTAAAGCCCACTGGGGAATTTTGCACAGTGATCAAGTGAGAAATGGACTTGTAGTTTATTTTCATTCTTTTTTTAATGATGATAATTGAGTCTACTCCTTAAATTAATTCTAGCTTCCAAAGTAGGTAAGTTTTAAGTAAATAAGTGAAGTTGAGAGAAATGAGGAATTGGGAATATTTGATCTGTATTTTCTGTTTCTACGCCTGTACAAAGGCCCGGATCGAAAAATACCTTGTAGCAAAAGTTGGAGATCGTTTCTTTTTGGCATCGATTTGGTACATCCATGCATAGGTCTATCTTTAAAATGACGGAGCAAGACGGCAAAAGGAAACGGGCCGACGCAGGGCCCCCTATGATTCGAATCGTAAAAAAGGCAATATCTAAGGCGTAGGTATGTGGGCAGAGATTAAGATGGGGTCGGGTAACTGGGCGGTGGGGTAACTGGGCAGTACCCTCTGTATTTCTACCATATTAGTGCAAAAATTGTTTTCACTGTTGGTATACCTTTATTATGACGTAAACCATCTAGAACATGTAAAGATAATCCCAAAAAAAATTTTTACGGTGAATGGTGAAGTGCCGAAAATTGTACAGCTTTTTTTTTCAAAACAACGCCAGAGGTGGTCCCGAAAAGAGCCTCATATCTCACTCCCAGCAAGTATTTTATTCAACTTTGACAATTCTTCTTCATGTATGATGTATTTGTGTAATGCGTGAGTAATTACAACGTAATTGGATGAAAGCACTGGCTGCAAAGGGTTGATGCCCAGTTACCTTGAAAATTTTCCCTTTGTGGGGTAACTGGGCACCCACCCCAAGGTAACTGGGCAGGTGGCAGTGGTGGCACCTGCCCAGTTACCCATTGCAAGGTTGCTGTGCTTCGGTGTTTGTTTACTTCTGAAAATGTCAAAACTAATTGACTATTGCGGACTTTTAAGTGCCAAAGACCAATAATCAGGGTTCCCAGCACACTAAACTTCTAACTTAAGTCAATTATAGCATAACTTAAGCATTACTTAATTACATTTTTGCCGCTAACTGTTACGACATCACTTTTAACGACTTACATTGTTATATAAATTCAAATGAAATTCTCTGAAACCCTCATGAGAAGGACATTTCTTTCTGGCCAATGAGAATTACAAATAATGCCCCCCTTAAAAATTAAGGGAACTTTTTGGCGCCTGACTCTATCCCAGATCAGCCTTGCGGCTTAATTTTTTTTCATTTTTTAAAGATGTATCATGCTTAATCTCACTAAAAGTGGCCAAACAGTGTCCTGGTATACAATACTACTTTATAAGTAGTAATACAGAAAGTTCCAAGCATTTATCTACAAGGAAACAATTTTTTTTACCGTTATACAATTCTCAGATTTGAGGGTTGTTTTGCCGCTAACTGTTACGACATCATTCTTAACCACTTAAACATGTTTATATACATTCAAATGACATTTTCTTAAACCTTCATGAGCAGAACATCGCCTTCTGGCCAATGAGAATTAAAAATAATGCCCCCCTCAAAAATTAAGGGGGGGTAGTCCAGTTACCCCACGACGCGACGTTGGGTAACTGGGTCAAAAAAATGGGAAATTTTTGAAACTTTGTCGGAAAAAATTGAAAGATGGAATTCGACTTTTGACTCTTCCTACATTTAGACAAGGTGTTGTACTTACTAAAAAAAATTTAAAAGTAACCCCCACTGTCAATATAATGATGGGGAAAAAATCATGAAGTTGAAATTTTGACATTTTTCTCCGAACTCTTGCCCAGTTACCCGACCTCACCTTACCTATCAATCAACTTTGACTGTCAACCTAAACGGCGTTCAAAATAAATCATTTGTACCTAGGCATGCAGAACCTTTTTTCACAAGTGTCATGGTTGCCATTTCTCCCGTAGGTATTTGTTACTATTTATCTACATTTATTATGAGTGGGTACCTACGGCCCAAGTAGCATGAAAAATATATAGGTATATCTATTGATTATACCATGTTCGATGGTGAAAGTGCAGACTAAAAGTGAAAAAAAGTAGGTACCTATGAAAACTGTTACCAAAGGTAATCAAGTAAATATTAACACGCAGCGGATAACGAACTCACTTTGAAAGAATGAGTAGGTACATGTAGAGCACGGATATATCTGTGCTTGTTCACTTGCACTTTGTTGTCCGTCGATATTAAAATAATTCCTGTTGCTGAGATGAAGAACGTGAGTAACCTCAAAACTTCACTCATACAGCGATTTCAGTCCACTCAAGCGATTGATTTTACAGCCACGAGGTGAGAAAAATTGGGGACCATTGATAAGCTAAAGCGACGTAAAAAGAGAAATAATCGCGACTTTATTTCGGGATGTTTACGCCAATAGGAGTTGTTCATTGGGTAGCTTTTCCTCGACTGCAAAAGTTCCTCAACTAATGTTCGAGAGAGTTCACCTCTCGGCGGCATACTCAACGACGGTGCACGGGTTGAATGAGACTAAAAGGAGGGGGCAAGGACGGAGAGTTCCTCGATCGATATCCTGCGCGCGTCCACCTACTTTTAGAGCCTCCCCTGAAAAGGAAGCGAAACCGCTAAGAACGGAAGTGCTAGAAATTTTTGCTCCTATTAACCCATTGACTTATGATTTAATTTGACCCTGCCGGGCCAGGAATTACGATTTAATTTGGCGAAAATCAGCAACTTTGAACACTTCAAAATAATCCAGAAATTATTTCTCAAAGGGTGAAAATTGACAAAATAAGCATTCACAATACAACGTTTGAGAAAAATGGTGAAAACTTTGAACACATTGATTTTTTTATGTGGTTTATAGCTGTCAAAATCGCAAAAATCGCAAAATCAGCGAAAATCAGAAAATGTTGAGGTTATTTCATGTGCAAACGCACAGTACTATGAAAATACCGTAACAAAACAAGAAATCACCGTACACAATAAGTCATAGGGTGGCCACACTACTCATACAAACATTGATGAGAACGCAATCTACCGGAGAATTGCCGAAATAACGCAAACAATCAGTGGACGGCTCTGAGCCGTCATTTCAGAGCTGGCCCAGCGCTGCGATGACGGCTGGGAGCCGTCATATTAAGTCAATGGGTTAATTATAAACCATCGATTACCTATATAATCGATTGATCAAATACCTTTCAATTCGATTAATCAATTCGATTGTTAAAATTTCGAATATACAATCAGTGGACGGCTCTGAGCCGTCATTTCAGAGCTGGCCCAGCGCTGCGATGACGGCTGGGAGCCGTCATATTAAGTCAATGGGTTAATTATAAACCATCGATTACCTATATAATCGATTGATCAAATACCTTTCAATTCGATTAATCAATTCGATTGTTAAAATTTCGAATATAACTATTTAGGTATAGTCGATTCCCAGTTAGGTAGGCTTGTGCTTAACGGCTACTTTTAGGTACCGTCTTCACTGTTACTGATACCTACTCAAAAATCACAGTGAAAAGTAGCAGTGATTTTTCACAGGATAACTTAAAAATACCGCCAATTCCAACCGTTCGTGGTAGCTCACTTTTTTACTATCAGCCATTAACTTCTGGCGAAAATTTTCCAAAAAAAGAGCAGAATAACAGGTTCTTCGCCAGTCACAGTGATCGATCTTTGCTATTCAAGAATCACAGTGATTTTTACTTGCCACTGGGATCGCGGCCACAAGTCTATAAACATATTTTTATTCAACATCAGCTTGACTTATTCCCAATGTTGCCCAGCAACAATTTCTATTACCTGTTTAGTCGCGATTTATATACTACCAATTAATCGATAACTATGCTCGGGTCAACTCTTCATCAATCAGTACAAAACCTTTGACATTTTCAGCCCAGTGACCAAAAGTGCTCATATTTTATTAAAAAGGTTGATTCCGAGTGAAATTATGGAAATACTTAATTGCTTCTAAAGTTGCCAAATAAAACTGGAACATGTTAAGCACACATGATTTTTGATTCTCAAAGAGGTTGTCCCATTTTCCATAGGAAATGGCCGCAAGAGCTTTTCCATCCATACTTTCAGGAATCATAACGTATCATCGGAGAAGCCTAAATCCGGTGTCATTTCTCGTCTAGCCCCCCAGGGGGGGGGGGGGGGCAGGGGGTCAAAGGTCAAACGCTCCGACCGCCATAACTTTTGAACGAGTCGTCGGATCAACTTGATCTTGGGCTCAAATGAAAGTTCTTGACAAGAGGGTCTTTCCATATTGTAACGGGTGTGACAACAATTCAACTTTAAACTAGAATTTGAACTCTTTCTTGGGGTTTAATTGAAAAATTATCTGTAGTAGCAGAAAGAACTTTTTTTTACGGATCATTTCAGTTTTTTTTTTTTTTTTTTTTTTTTTTTTTTTTTTTTTTTTTTTTTTTGCTTTGAAAGCGGGGAGAAAACCAAGTTCCGGCAACTACTGCTCGCATGTGCCAGGGACGGGCGGCCAACCCCACCCCTCGACAGTTGCAATCAGCTGACAGGGGGTTCGAGAGAGCCACCCGCACCCCGCACACACGAGATTGAGGCATGCTCGATGGTCAGCAGCGCGCGAGTGGGTTCGGACCCCGACTACAAACCTTTACACCCCCACCAGTCACAAGGACTGGTGGTTCTCCCGGCAATATATCCCGACCAGACGAGGCAGGCCCGATCGTTCCTCTCGCGGGTCCCTGCTAAAAATGTTCCGTGTGGATGATTTCCATGAAGTTGATTTCCATGAAAAAATGACACGGAAAAATGGAACAGGAAATATTTCCATGTGGCTGATTTCCGTGTGGCTGATTTCCATGTGGCTTATTTCCATGAAAATTTTTCATGGAAACGAAATCATTTCCGTGAAAATTTTTCATGGAAACGAAATCATTTCCGTGACAATTTTTCATGGAAACAAAACCATTTGCATAAAAATGATCACAAGAAGGTTTCAGTACCATCCAAATTGCTCACGGAAATTAAATAAATCTTAGAATCAAGACAAAGGAGACAAGCGTCCCAATGGGAGCACATGATATTTGGACCATGCAGACATGCTCAGTAAAATAGAAAATGAACAAACAACACTCACCAACTCGCTCAAATCTGTAATCCACTGGGTCAGAAAAATCCACTTGAAGACAATAAATCCAAATTTCCGATTAGAACTGGTGCAGGTACGAAGGAACTTTTGAAAACACGATGAGTGCATTGTAAAAATATCTAAAGCACTCTTTAACGTAAGAGAAAAATTAGCACCATGATTTAATAGCTGATCAATACAGAACACCACTCTCAGAAAAGCACTGACACAACACGATTTTTCAGTTTAGTTTTAGAGGAGAAAGCATTTTTCAAAAGATGCGACATCATAGATCCACAGCTTAAATAATTTCACGATTTACTACGATCATTGATGATATTAAGGTAGCCATCGATTCTCTACCCGACGTTCCTTCCACACATGACAGGAAACATCTACAGGCATAGAGCAAATGGCACTGAGCAGCAATGTACATCTGATAAGGCAAGCTCCTGGAAGTGTCGATCTGCAAAAATACAAAGCGGGAGACAGATCATCAAATTGATCTACCTATGGTTAATGGCCGTCCTTGGAGACAGACAATAAACTACGTAACAATATATCAACCACCTTTTGATAACAGAACGAATTTAAAATGAGAGCAAGACCCTTCCTTATGGAGGGAGGGCCAAGAAACATTTAAAAACGGAACATTTTACTACTGACAGGTCTGAGCCACTGAATAAAATACATTCCACCAGTCAATAAAATTTTAAATTTTGAATGTTGATGGATAACCTGATTGCCAGTATACATTGAGTTGAAACCAGTTGAAACATCTGATACGTAGAGCGGTTCATTCTTATAGAAGCTTCCGAAGTAGTTCCAGATAGGTACTTTAAAATTAGACACCGGTCAAATGTAGTACAAGAGAGGAAATGGGTGCAACAAAACTTTAATTGTCCTTGATTCTTTTGTGAAAGGTGTGAAAGTGAAAAATTATTCATTAAATTACTTACTTGAGGTGATGTGGTGATGTGAGAGATAAATATAACCTAACTTTTGTGAAGATGTTCCTAGTTCCTGGAATAATCGTTCCTTGCCGATACTTCCAGGGTTGTATTTATTATCTAAATAATTATCAGGCAAATGTTTTCAAAAGGATTAAAATACAAAAACTGGCTTTCTATAATCATTATAGCGGCTGATTTTCACTCATTTTCATACGCAACCTCGATAAAAAGGCAAAAGGCGGAACCGCGGAATGGTCCCTCGTCCAACTGTTCGATGTCCAACTCGCACTCGGAACTCCGGCCGGACCATTTTTCAATTTCAATTCAATCCACCCAGCCAGCCAAGCCATGCCATGCCGTGAATTTCAAAATGAAAACTTAATTTGATCTACTTTTCATGATTCTTAACGAAGAATCGATTGTATTATCGGCGTCTACTTGACTATACTCAGTTTCATCGAACACAGGTAAATTATCTCTCTTTCACTTCTTGACGACGGACACACCTAAGTATGAGCCTGTCACCTTGTACTTACATTACACATTTGTCATGTCAAGCTATACTGATCAAGTAACTCGAGTTTAATTTTCTTTGCCGATTTACGATTCAGTCGATATGTTCTAACGAGCGAGGTAATTGTGAATTCTATTCTCTTGGTTTGCGAATGCATTTACTACCATGTGCTATTCCTAACCGTGGTTACGAAGTTGATCGAAGAGTCTACGTCTAATAAATCTATCCACTCCTTCCGTGGGAAGGGAGATAATCTTTCATCTATTTAGCATTGAAGGGAAAGACCAGAATCAAGATGGTGGATCTTCTGTTGCACTCTCTAAGTGCAAATCTTATTATCCGCGGACTTCATCACAAGTAGAAACTTCCCAACTCTTGCAGGCGAGTGCTATAGGTAGTCTGTTGGAACATCCTCATACTGCCTGCATTTTCCTTGTGTCTTCAAAAGAATCAAGGACAATTAAAGTTTTGTTGCACCCATTTCCTCTCTTGTACTACATTTGACCGGTGTCTAATTTTAAAGTACCTATCTGGAACTACTTACGAAAGCTTCTATGAGAATGAACCGCTCTACGTATCAGATGTTTCAACTCAATGTATACTGGCAATCAGGTTATCCATCAACATTCAAAATTTAAAATTTTATTGACTGGTGGAATGTATTATATTCAGTGGCTCAGACCTGTAAGTAGTAAAATGTTCCGTTTTTAAATGTTTCTTGGCCCTCCCTCCATAAGGAAGGGTCTTGCTCTCATTTTAAATTCGTTCTGTTATCAAAAGGTGGTTGATATATTGTTACGTAGTTTATTGTCTGTCTCCAAGGACGGCCATTAACCATAGGTAGATCAATTTGATGATCTGTCTCCCGCTTTGTATTTTTGCAGATCGACACTTCCAGGAGCTTGCCTTATCAGATGTACATTGCTGCTCAGTGCCATTTGCTCTATGCCTGTAGATGTTTCCTGTCATGTGTGGAAGGAACGTCGGGTAGAGAATCGATGGCTACCTTAATATCATCAATGATCGTAGTAAATCGTGAAATTATTTAAGCTGTGGATCTATGATG